AGACCATTATCTATGCCTCAAAACTAAAAAATTGTGACACCAATAGTAATGTCGATCACGAGTCTATTGCCGACAAATTGATGTCTGAGTTGTGTTTAAATGATATTTCAGCCATAAATGTGGAGAATTGCAGTTCTGGTCAACAAAAGCGGATAGTAATAGCGATGGAAATGACGGCTGAAATCAAACCAAACCTCATATGTGTTGACGAACCGACTTCTGGTGTCGACAGCTATTCAGCAATTTTGGTATAAAATATTTTTGTAAATTATTTTCAATAATTTATTAGATTTTGAATTTCTTTTACACTAAAAGATGATAAAATGCTTCAAACGTTTGTCCCGTAAACACAATATATCGATGATTGCATCCATACATCAGCCAAACCTCGAAATCCTAATGTTATTCGATATGTTGTATATATTGGCCAAAGGAGGGGTCGCCGTATACTCGGGTCCGCCCCGAGGTTTGCGCTCACATTTAGATCAATGCAATATTCAATGCAATGAAAACCAAATACCAATTGAAGTACTCATTAAACTGTCGGCCAACGGATTCAGTGATGAGAAAGTGATGGAATTGTCTCAAAAAACAAATCAAATAATAAACAAATACATTGAAAGGATTCGCACAGAACTGGATATCTCTTCGGTCGGAATTGTCACTAATTTTAAACACTTTTCTATCACTGAATTTCTATACCTATTGTCGAGAGCCGTCACAAGGCTTTGGCGACACGAGTGGCCTATAATATTGATCGTAATGTCTGTTACTTTAATTTTGCAATTGTTGGTCAAAATATTATATAATTTTCCATTGGATTCGGCGGACAGTTGTATAGATATCGGTTACAATGGGACCGATGGGTGCCCACAATATGCACATGATTTCTTTAGCGACAAAATGATTGCATATAATCTGTCTTATATATGCTTCACAATTAATTTGTGGTTTATAATACAAACACTATTAGGTTGCGGTACAATAACTAACGATTTGCCCTTGTGCATGCGGCAGTGCCATAACTGTAAGTAAAGTACATTTATATATTCAATACAAGTACATTTTAAAATGTTACTTTATCACATTTATTTAAATTTTAAAATTAAAACATCGAGATTTAGTATGTGCTGGGAGAGCTCTAAAAGAGGTTTTACTATGTAAACTCGTGTCAGTTTAGATAGACTTATAGTTTTTGAACACATTCTTAATCAAATTTTATATCTAATATCAATATATTTAATATACAAAATAGGCTGGTATTCCGTGGAATCGTATTTTATGGTCAAACTTGTAGTGAATATTATACCAATTTTTGTGACCAATATTTGTCTGTCGTTTATAATCAATATCTACGACCGATTGGACGCAATGCCGGCCGCGATCTTTATGGCCGTAACATTGGCTTCAGTGGCCATACAAAGGATCTGTCATTTGGTTAGCATATGTTTTCCCCGACACACGGCCTCCGCAGCCATAATCATATGTGTTTTGTTTTCTCTAACGAACACAAACTTCATGCCAGTGTATGAATTCGGACCCGCATTTCAACAGTTAACTAATTTGTCGCCAATCAAAGCCGTGTTTAGCTATTTCCAAGTCTATCTGTACGGTCGGGGCCGCTGTCCCACCGCTACTCATATATCGTCCGTCTTATATAGGAATCAATTGACGGACGAAGACTTGGATAAGTCGTGGCGTTTATTGATATTTCAATGCGTTTTCTATACAATTGTCTCGTATTTTGCGCTCAAAGTTAGGGTTCACTCGCAGTCCATACAAATTAAGTGCAAACAATTTGTTGATTGCTTAAAAAGAAAGTAATTTTTAAAAGGTGGAAAAAGGTGATAATAATATCTTTCTTTAATTTTAAGCATTTTATTAATCAATGGGTTTTATTACAAACAAATGTTCCTTTCATTCAATTCCCAAACATAACAATCTACAGTACATACGGCTACTGACAACCCAAAGTGGTATCTGTATTATGCGATTTACAGCTCACCCGATGGTCATATCCAAAAACTGATTTCACCATGTTAAAGCCAGATAGATTTCTGATTTTTTCATGTAAATAAAGTTATATTAAACAATCTTGGTATATTTTTTAAATTAATGTTTTTACAGATAAATTTTTCCACAAACAAATATTTTTCTTTTAATAAGAGCTATATGCTATTTTTAATAAATTATCTACAAAATGCAAATATACGTGTCGACTAATTTTTAACGTTGGTTCGAATGGTGAAGACAG